GAAATTCGAAAATTGCAATTCCAACGGACACCACATGTTAAAGGCTCCTGTGGACAAACGAGCATATACTGAAGTGGGGTTCTGACCTCTCTCCGTGTGGCAACTACAGACCTATTTCCTGTCTATCACCGTTCGGAAAGTTATTCGAATTCTGGCATGGATTGGAAGAACCGTCGGCCTTGCTTGGCCGGCTAGGAATAGAATACCCTAATTTTAGGAGGTTACAGCCGGTTCTAAAGATAATCTCGGATCAGGTTCATATCTCGGATAAGATGAGATAAGTAGTTCAGGAGAGGTTTTACCTGTCAGTCAGATAGACTACATTCTGTCAAAACCTAAGGTCTGAATTTCCAATGCAGTCAAATCTTGAGGATGAGGGGTGGTCTTTCCCACGATGTTAGGCTCTTGATCGATAGACGACTATATGATGAAGTCTGTAGTGGCATTCTTAGACAGATACCAGTTTATAGGTAATAGCATAGTTGGAGATATGTTATGATGCTTTGCGAATGCAGACCAGCTACGAAAGTTGAAACTATTCCGTTGAATAATGTCGCTAAAATCATCCAAATAGCGAATATCGGGGCGTACGGTTTTATGACGACCATACGATATCATGGACAATTCTCTTTCAGATGGTAAAGTACTTAGAAGGAACTCCTTGTGTAGAAGATCAGACCATTCCATTGAAAAGTGTGCCTAAACTCATCAAATACCGAATATCGGGGAGTACCGTAATATGGACAGATGTAGCCCATCTTCGAATCAAATGCAGACTTGAATATACGTCTCATCATTCTCTATTGAGATTCAAAATTTCTTATTGCTTGAGCTAAGTCTCAACTTCATTACCATTTTGACCCACAGTTCCGCAGTCTCGGCACACTCATTTCACTGTTTTTTTTTTAACTGACATTTTTATAGAGAATTTTCGACATTTTTGTAGGAATAGTTGATGTTATTTGACGTTTAAATGATGACTAAATGGATGAAATTGCAAAACGTGATCCCCATGCATGGCTTGGCTTGATGACGACGATGCAAATTAAGGGAAACATTTTCAAACACTTTGTAAACTGATCGCTTGTCGACGTAAACCAAATCAAATGGCAATCACAGACATTGTCTGGCAATTCTGATATCTGTGAAGTCATCTATTTTTAGCCAACTGACCGTCATCTAAGTCAGTGACTTTAGAATTTATTTAAATTAAATCTTTTGATTTATGATATCCTAAAGCCTTCGAAGAACATTGACCGAATATATTTTTTTATTTTGTTAAGAACTCATTGTTGAGATAGTTCCCATTTCAATGTGGAGCAAATAAATTATTATGAAATTGCAGCATTTTATATAATTTCATATTTGTATCGGTTTTTTTGCTTTTGCTAGTTACCTCCAATAAGATAGTTGTACAAAATGTTACGTATGAGCTATGAGATTTATACAGTTAATACAACCGTAACAAATCTTGATTAAGTAACAAAGGTAAGCGAATTTTCAGTGAGAGGACGTTTTTTTTAAAAACTCATGTGAAGTGGAATGTTAAAGAATCCGGTTTGCGAATACATATTCATGTTTTTATAAGAGTGTATATTTTTTTCGTTGTTGGTCCTATAATGTCCAGTCATTGCATGGTCTGCAGTTCTTTTAATTTCCACAGCCGGCAGAGCTAATAGATTAAAGGACAGTATCTTTAATATTTATTTTAACTGCAAAATGCCAACATTGAAAACTCAACACTCAGACAAATGTAATATTTCCAGATATTTGAAATGTTTCATGTCATTAGCAATCTATGGCACAAAGAGGAAAATTGATGCTGATTTTTTTTTTTTTTGGAAATTCCTGTTCAAACCTGTAAGGAAACGCCAAAAGACAGGCGGGGCCGACAATATGATACCCTACACAACTATGCATATTTAGTAGAGCTCCCATAACAATAAACTTGAAATCAGATTAAGGATATACATGGAAGCTATATCCAAATCTTAGCCATTCTCTATAAAATTTGGCAAAAGTATTTCCGAACTCGAATGCATATTACGAATGTGAGGGACTTAAACATCAAATCAGATGAATCATATATAGCTATATCTGAACCGATTTTCACCAAATTTAACTTAACATGCTGCTAGACTGAATTCGGTTGAATGTGCCAAAACTCAGGTCATTTGGACTGAGATTGGCCATTTGGTGTACAATTAACCCAAATCTTAGCCGATCTTTACAAAATTTGAAACACTTATTTCTTAGCTATCTGATATCTAATACGAAACATCATTCATATGGGGTGCATATTACGAATGTGGGAGACTTAAATACCAAATCGGATGTACGGGAGCTATAGCTATATCTGAACAGATTTTCTCCGAATTATATGTACTTGCTTCTAGGCTGAGTTCTGTCGGATGTACCAAAATTCTGGAATTTTTGACATATATTGGCCATATGATACACAATTAACCCGAAATCGGTTGAATATATGTATGGGACCTATATCCAAATCTGAACCGATATTGATAAAATTTGGCATAGGTATTTCTGGGCTGTATCTGATATCTAGTACTATTGTTGCAGAATATGCGAAACCAACAATCAGATAAACAACAAGTCGAATGAATGATATATATTGGGGTTATAGCTATATCTAAACCGATTTGCACCGAATTCGACGTACTTGCTACATTCGGTCGGATGTGCCAAAATTCCGGTCATTTGGACTGATATTGGCCATTTGTTGCACAATTAACCCGAAATCTATTGAAGATACTCGTATATGGGAGCTATATCTAAATCTGATTATCACCAATTTCAATAGGGTTCGTCCTTGGGCGAAGCAAATATTGTTCGGGAAATATCATCTCAAGCGGATAATAAATGCGACCTGCATTTTATTCACAAGAATACATAGACAAACGGACGGACGTACTGACATGAATAAATCGACTCAGAAAATGATTCTACGAAGATCCTCAAAAAAGTAACTATGGATCTATCTCTTCTTCCTCTATCTCTTCTTCCTCTATCTCTATCTATCTTCCTTCTCCATATTACAAACAAATGCACAAAGATATAATACCCTTACCACTATGTGATGTAGGGTATAAAAATATGACAAAAAAATATCAAAAACAAGTAAGCAAAGGCTACAGTCGAGCGGGGCCGACCGTTGAATACCCTACAACACTATAATAAACAATACAGTTTATATAGGCGAGATACTCGAAAGAATTGCACAAGATATTGTGACAAATAATAAAAGAAAACCTGATGGTTTTCGTTCGTTTCGTTTTCGTTCTCTAACTTTCGAATAATAGCAACTTAAACTAATTTGCTCATTTCCAATTTATTGGTAGATGTTGCACGTAAATGGTCTTCCTAGATCTGGAACCAATATTTCCCAAAGACCTACAATCTCTCGGAAGTGGCAAAAGATTAAGATTTATTATTTGCTTTTGACTGAAATGCATCTATATGAGATACAAACATTTGACTATATTCTTCAACGAAATCAGCGTTAAGGAAATAGTCGGAAGTGCGTCTTTCCTGTATTTGTGAATTCTCCAAAAAGTCACTGGAATGGACATTTTCGTATTTTGTCTACAAAAGTTGGCAAACTATTTCACACATTGAATATTTTTGGATGGCCATCCGAAACTGCTTGGCGATTTTTTTAGACGTTTTTTCTTTCCTGCCAAGAGGCCATTCTGAATTAATGAGAACTGTCGAAATCAGTCCAGCCGTTCTCGACATATAAGAGATCTTTCAAGCATGTATAGACATATATATAGACATATATATCGCACATATTTTGCTATATATCCGATTTGTTGGATGTTAACATCAATGTAAAGATCAGAAGTAACCTTGTCATGGCTTTGTGATTTCGCCGGGATTTAAAATATTCGCGGTTTAATGAAAAATTTTGAATTTTTTCAACACAAAATATATGGTCTATTTTACCCGCTAAATATTATCCGATGACCACCCGAATTGGTAGGATTCTTCCCCGCCCTAAACTCTAGCTACATGCGAAATTCCGATTGGTCTATAATTGCGACCTGTATAGCTACTGCAAAATCCGACATTTTTTCAGTATTTGGTCCATTTCAACCCCTAAACATTTGGCGATCATCTCCAAAAGAAATGGGCTTCTATTCTGACCCTAACCCCACCTTCGTGCAAAATTTCGTTAGGATCGGGCCATAATTGCGACCTGTAGCGTGATTACAAATTAACATGGACGGACGGACGGACATACATACATAGCTAGATCGACTCAGCTCGGCGAGCTAGGAAGATCCATATATACTTTCCTATATGGGAAACCAATATTTCGAGGTGTTACATAAATTCTGGCCCAATCAAACTTATAATACCCCCAACACATAGTGTTGTAGGGTATAAATATTAAAGAAGAATATTCACATTTGCATTGTGCTGCGATTGTTCAATAAAGGACCATATTTTGGAATATCCCCAATTGGAAAATATCCCCTAACATGGGTATGTGAAAGCCCTGTCCACATTTTCAATTGGATCTACTGAGAAGCTGAAATGGCAAATTGTTAAGAAAAGTGATTTTAACTGAAGCGATACCCTTAAAATTTCATGGAGCCATTATTTGGGGCCAATATCAAAGGCAAACCTATCTATCTATATGGGGTTGATATTCCAAATACTAACTTATTGCTTATTCCTTTAGAAATTATGGCAAACCTTTCGAAATACCTAAAATCGCCGGTACTGTTTTTGGGGCTATTAGAGAACATAAACCTATATTAACACTTTTGTGTGGTGTCTAAATGTTTCAAGGGATCTCCACATATAGAAATCTGAACCTAAAAAAAAAACCTAAAAAACCTAAACTCGGGCAGTATCGTCAATTAATTTGTTGTACATTAATTCAATATATCAATTTTGGAGGATAATATAAGATTGACCCCTCCACTTGGTATCTTTTATTGTATTTAAAAAACAATGATTTAATTATTTTGTTATTTTATTAATAATTTTATTTATTTACATTTTGGCATATTTGACTTAATGCACATTTATTTTTCACAAATTTTCAGAATGTCACAGTTAAGAGTAAATTATAAATGATTTAGAGGACAGTGGTGAGGACAAGTAAGATTAGAATGTATAAGACAGGAAATCTGAAAGAAAGGCGAAGTAGCAATGGAAGGAGCATAGGCGATAGATAGCAGAAAAAGCGTGCGACATGGTTAGTTTCTCTTATTTCATCAATGAATGAATTCAAACGGTTCCGGGAGCAGGTTGCAGATTAACTGAGGCCACAGATTGTGCATGACCAGCCAATGGGGCAACATGTACAGCACCACGGGTCTTGGCAACGAAAGTACCACTATGAGCTGGAACTACAGCAGGAGCGGCAACAACATGTGGAGCGGCAACTACATGAGGGGCAGCAACTACAGCTGGAACGGGACCGGAGACCACTTGAACAGGTCCAGGGCCAGCAACAACATGAGGTGGGTGGGCAGCTACTGTAACGGCAGCATGGGGATGAGCTCCAAGTACTACTGTACCGGGTAGGGGTCCACCCACAACAACTGGTCCCCAGGGCAAAACTGAGGAGTTGGCACCCAAAGCCAAGGCAAGCAGGACTACGGCAATGACGAACTGGAAAACAAAACGGAAAACGATGATTAAATTCTATTTATACATAACTAGCTTTGAAGGCAATAAATTTTTTTGTTTTAATTTGAACTACTGGTTTCAAATCCAACGATCATCGTTTTGTTTTTTAGAAAAATCGTAGTTTGTGTCCCGCTTTTCGAATAGATTTGTATGTTTTCCTTAATTCACGTTTTTTATGGCGGAATTTTTTATTTTGTTTTTATTACTTTTTCATTTTAAAAAGTTCATAATTATTTCTTGGGAATATGATTTTTTACTCTGTATGGAGTCAGCGAAGAATTTCAAAATTGCATTTTTTCTTTGAAATCTTACAAATCTTACATTCGGCACATTCAATGTAACACTATTTATAATTATTTTTGCATATGTCCTTTCACACAAATTTAACTATAAGTAATCCTTTTATCCTTTTTTAAATTTCTCACTGAAGTGCTCACCTTCATGTTTGCTAGGTTTTGTTCTATTGTTCTATGTAAAACGTTAGAAATAACTATTGACATCGCAGTGTGACACTAACCTTTTATAGCAAAACAATTTCTGTCCCAGCATAGAAAAAAAAATTATCTTATATGTATATTTACACTTCTTTTGTTCTATTTTCAATTATTGTAATTATCTAACATTTACCCCTCGGACACTCCTTCACATAGATAACATACCGGTAATGCATTTCATTATGTCCAGCGATTACTTAAATAAACCATTCCAGAACTTATTTTATTTAAACAACTTCAGTGTCAACCTACACCAACCTCAATGACAACACCTGAGTCATTTTTACATCGTTACAAGCTGCAGTTTAATGATCAAACCAATTCACACTTGTAAGCGAAGGCCAGTCAACTCAAAGAAACAACATTTACATTTGCATATTACATACCTATATATTTTTAACTACTAACAAACATCCTTGTTAAGTACGAGTTAGACATACCATTGGAAGTCCCAGCCGTTTCATCATCAACAATTTATATTAACAAGTAAGCAAAGGCTACAGTCGAGCGGTGCCGACCGTTGAATACCCTATAACACTATAATAAACGATACAGTTTATATAGGCGAGATACTCGAAAGAATTTCACAAGATATTGTGACAAATAATAAAAGAAAACCATCAGGTTTCGTTCTCTAATTTTCGAATAATATCAACTTTTTCAACTAATTTGCTCATTTCCAATTTATTGGTAGATGTTGCACGTAAATGGTCTTCCTAGATCTGGAACCAATATTTCCCAAGACCTATAATCTCTCAGAAGTGGCAAAAGATTAACATTTATTATTGGTTTTTGACTGAAACGCATCTATATGAGATACAGACATTTGACTATATTCTTCAACGAAATCAGCGCTAACGAAATAGTCAGAAGTGCGTCTTTCCTCTATTTGTGAATTCTCCAAAAAGTCACTGGAATTGACATTTTCTTATTTTGTCTACAAAAGTTGGCAAACTATTTCCCACATTGAATATTTTCGGTAACCCCCACTCAAATGTGCGTGAGGATCGGGCGATAATTACGATCTGCTGACAATTTTGCAGATTTTTGCTCCATTTCAACCCCTAAATATATGGCGATCATCTCCAAAAAGATTAGGCATCTATTCTGACCCTCATCTTATCCCCATGCAAAATTTCGTATAGATCGGGCAATAAATGAGATCTGTATATGATATCCTGATATCCTAACTACTTAGTTTTGTTAGCAGTAGAAATATTACCAAATATTTAATTCAAAATGAAAATATGCCAAAAATATGACAAAATTGAAAAAATATGAGAGAATGTTACAAAATCAATATTTTCAACTTTAGAGAGATATTTTTATGCGATTTTTTTAGACGTTTTTTGTTTCCTGCCAAGAGGCGATTCTGAATTAATGAGAACTGTCGAAATCAGTTCAGCCGTTCTCGACATATAAGAGATCTTTCAAGCATATCTTCTTTGATAGACATATATATCGCACATATATCCGATTTGTTGGATGTTAACATCAATGTAAAGGTCAGAAGTAACCTTGACATGGCTTTGTGATTACGCCGGGATTTAAAATATTCGCGGTTTAATGATAAATTTTGATTTTTTTCAACACAAAATATATGATCTATTTTACCCGCTAAATATTATCCGATGACCACCCAAATTGGTAGGCTTCTTCCCCGCCCTAAACTCTAGCTACATGCGAAATTCCGAGTCGATTGGTCTACAATTGCGACCTGTATAGCTACTGCAAAATCCGACATTTTTTCAGTATTTGGTCCATTTCAACCTCTAAATATTATGCGATCATCTCCAAAAGCAATAGGGTTCTATTCTGGCCCTACCCGCACCTCCATTCTAAATTTTGTGAAGATCGGGCCATAATTGCGACCTGTAGAGTGATTACAAATTAACATGGACAGACGGACAGATGGACTGACGGACATACATAGCTAGATCGACTCAGCTCGGCGAGCTAGGAAGATCCATATATACTTTCCTATGTGGGAAACGCATATTTCGAGGTGTTACATAATTTTTGGCCCAATCAAACTTATAATACCTCCAACACATAGTGTTGTAGGGTATAATAAAAGAGTAGAGCAATTGACTGGCTGATAGACGAAACGGCTGAAGCTAAAATATTGAAATTTTTTGTCCGAAGGGGTCGGATAAGGCAGAAAATTCCTACTAGAACGCTACGAAAAGTATTAAAATGTACTAAATATGGTACCCTTTGTATTTGAGGAAGCTCTTATACTTATACAAACCAACCTCATTATCTAAAAGCAACACACTCACAGTGATCCGAGTACCCGAATTAAAATTTCCAGTTTTGTTATTACACTCCCTACCGAATTAACTACATTTCGAACACCATATAGAACGTATTTCCAAAATATGTCCCTTGTCTAACCCACAATTACGCTCATTTTAAAATATAGTACCTTTTATTAAATACCTTTCGTACACGTTACGGCAGGAATTTCCAAATTCGACTTCTTACTTTTTGCTGAGGGTCACTTTTGGTCCGAAGGGGTCACATAAGGCTGGATTCTGAGAAATTCATGTATTTGACGAACAAGTAAAGCCAGTGCTCTTAAATTTGGAATGAAGGTCACTGATGAATGTAACAAAGGGATTTTGAAAATTCGCACTACAAGTGTACGAAAAGTACTAAAATGTAGTACATTTAGTACCATTTCGTGTCATGTAAACTATTATACTAAAAACTTGAAATTTGGTAGGGTCGATGAAAGGAGGTAGTTTGGGAACTGTGTGCTCATTTATACGAGAAGGACTAAACGGTACTAATTTTTGGTACAATTTTAATTTGGAGTAACGGTTGAAAATTGAATTAAATTTGAAATGAACATTACTGGCAGGATTGGGATTATGGGGGTAGTTTTCGAAGTTTTTATACACTACAACGCTATGTGTTGCGGGTATTATAAGTTTGATTGGGCTAAAAAGTATGTAACACCTTGAAATATTGGTTTCCCACATAGGAAAAGATCCATACATCTTACTATCTCGCCGAGCTGAGTCGTCCGTCCGTCTGTCCATGTTTGTAATCACTCTACAGGTCGCAATTGCGGCCCTATCTTCACGAAATTTAGAATGTAGGTGGACGTCTCGCTAGGGCGAGAATAGAAGCCTATTGCTCCTAGAGATGATCGCATATGGGGTTGAAATGGACCAAAAACTGAAAAAAATTCTGATTTTGCAGTTGCTCTACAGGTCGCAATTATAGACCAATCGACGCGGAAGCTAGCATGGGACTAGAGCCTAGGGCTGAGCAGAAGTCATCTAATTTTGATGGTCATCGGCTAATATTTAGTGGGTGAAAAAAAACCATAAAATTTGTGTTAAATAAAAGTCAAATTTTCCAATAATTCGCCATTCTCTAGAATGGCTGGACTGATTTTGACAAATTTTGTCAATTCAGAATGCCCTCTCGGCATAGGAGTATAAAATCTAAAAAAATCGCATAAAAAGATGCGAATAATGATGTTAATATAGATTTTGTAGTATTTTGTGATATTTTTTTATTTTTTCATATTTTTCATCGTATGTGATTTTTTTCAATTTGACTTATAATATTGAAGTGTATACTTTTTAAAATTTTTTTCCCTTACAACACAGGTTTGGGTTAATATAAACAGATTGCAATTATCGTCCGATCCTCATGAAAATTTTCACAAGGGTAGGGTTCGGCTCATAAGGGCTACGTCTATTGTTTTCAAAGATGTCTGCAATATATTTAGGAGTTGAAGTGGACCATAAACAGAAAAAAATTCCAGATCACACAAATGAAGCCAATTGACACGCCTGAGGAAGGAGTTAAGGACAGGGAAGAATTCTAGCATTTAAGATGACCATTGGAATATATTTAGCTGTAAAATTGACCACAACAACTTACAGCACGACGGAGTGTGTAAGTATTGGGTAAATATCCCTGGTCAAAATACCTGGGTAATATCTGGGCAATGCTCCATGACATAATTTCAAAAGCGAAATCTTCCACAAGGGATTTGGACATAAGGGGGCTTCTAATATATTGTAGTATTGTAGGGTATCACATGGTCGGCCCCGCACTACTATAGCCTTTGCTTACTTGTTAATTATGTACATGAAAATTACTAAATTGTACTAAATTTGTTACAATTTGGATTTGGGTGAGCCGATAGGGCTTAAATACTTGAATACTGAATTATGTCTTTGTGCATTTGTTTGTAACAGGCAAAAGGAAACGAGATAGACCCATAGTTCCTTTTGATGATCTGCATAGAATCACATTCTGAGTCGATTTATGCATGTCCGTCCGTCCGTCTGTCCATGTATTTTTGTAAACAAAGTACAGTTCGCATTTATTGTCCTATCTAGATGAAATTTTGCACAAATCATTTGTTTGGCCCAAGGACAAACCCTATTGAAATTGGAGATAATCGGTCAAAATTTAGATATAGCTTCCATATATATCTTCGTCCGATTTGCTTTTGATTGTGCACCAAACGTGTAATATCAGTCCGAAATTTTGCACGTACGATCAGATTGGACCTCAAAATAAGTATGCCAAATTTGATCGAAATCGGTTCAGATATAGCTATATCTCCCATATGTATTGATCATCCGATTTGTTATTTTTGTCTTCCGCAGCTATAATATGCACTCTGTAACAACAATATTTGGGGAAATATATCAGATACAGCTCAGAAATACATTTGCTAAATTTTATCGAGATCGGTTCAGATTTGGATATAGCTCCCATATATAACTTCGTCCGATTTACCTTTTATTGTGCACCAAACGTCTAATATTCGCCCAAATTGGATGAAATTTGGCAGTTGCGACCGAATTGAGTCTAGAAGCTAGTATGTCAAATTTGGTGAAGATCGGTTCAGATATAGATGTAGCTCCCATATATACTGTTCATCCGATTTGTCATATTTGTTATCCACAGCCGTAATATGCACTCTGCAACAACGATATTCAGGGAAATATATCAAATACAGCTCAGAAATATCTTTGCCAAATTTTATCAAGATAGGTTCCGATTTGGATGTAGCTCCCATATCTATTTTTATCCGATCTCAAATTAATTGTGCACCAAATGGGCAATACAAGTCCGAATTTAAAAGATACAAATGCTTCGGCATATTTAGTCCTTTGAACTTTAAATTTTAATTATAATCATAGGGTGTATGATTGAATTCTCCCATAAAAACGTTTAATTGTTATGCGCAGCTCTACTAAATTAGCAAAGTGGTGTAGGGTATCATAAAGTCGGCCCCGCCCGACTTTAAGACTTTCTTTACTGGTTTATTATGTGAACTGATAGAGCTAAGAACTTGAAATTCGGTGTGAGAATCAAGATTGGAAAGTATGTTTGATATATAATGGTGTTTTATGGGATATGTACTTAGTGTGTGATCTGTACTAAATGTAAAACAGTTTTGTTTAGGGTGAATTTTTTGTATATGTGCTCTATGTAGTATACGATATTTTGCACCTGTGTCAAAAAAGTGGTTATGGAACGCATTAGAAAATCATGTTTTAAAAACGTTCTTCAATTTTTTATTTCAACATACAAGCTTCTGAAATGTTACAAAGAAAGTTGGTGTATTATTATTTATCCCTTTCTCGTCTAGCGTAAGGAACAACTTCGGAGGCGTATGAGCCGAATAAGCTATTCAAAGATAAGACTTAAAGCATAAGCATAACCGTAGATCAGTGTGTAGAGTATTTAACTAAAAGAGATTAATAAAGTTTTATTTTTTGGTATTGAAAATGATATAAATAGGTCCACGTTTTTGTATCGCCCCCATATAACGATACCTGCCTTAATTCGGTATTTCGATGATTTTTGCGACACCGAAATTATTTTAAATTTTGTATTTGCACTTCTCAATATGTACCATAACATATATAACGGTACATTATTGCGACATTATTTCAAATTTGGTATTTGAAGTTAGTAATGGGTACTACAGCCTGTGACAGAAAATTGACAATGCAGGTCAAGGTCAGGTCTTCATGTAGCACCGTACTTTAATAAATGAAACAGTTTTATGTTTTTTTTTTTTTTTTTTGCGATATTATCTAACGGAATTTGTTCAAGTTTGGTATTGGTATATTGTTACGGCCTATGAAACAACTTGCCTATGCAGGTTCCCGTCTTTGTATAGACCCAAATATTACGGCAACGCTCCATATTCGGGATTTTTATACCCCCCACCATTCTATGGAGGGTATATTAGTTTTGTCATTCCGTTTGTAACTCCTCGAATCCAGCGATTTCCCATATATATTAGTACCTCCCGATATTCGATATTTTAATGATTTTAGCGACATTATTCTCTGGAACTGTTTGAAATTTCGTATTTGAAGTTCGTAACGGATATTACAGCATATGACAAAAAATTTCGTATGCAACGATTTTCAATTAAGTAGTATTTTTCTAATTTTTTTTTTATTTTGAAAGTAAAATGAATAAAATGATGGAGAGTATTAAAAGTTCGGCCCGTCCGAACTTATTGCTTTTTTACTTGTTTTACGTTCAGTTTTGTATATTTTCCCATTTATTTAATTTATTCATCAAAAATACACTTTCAATTTAGTCAGTCTACAGGTCCACGTCTTCCTATAGCCACCAATATTGTACCGCGATATTGGTATTCTTATGATTTCTAACAGTAATTTCCAAGCTTTTTTTTTAATTTATAAATTTCTTTCAAATGGTGTACGGTATTTAAAGTTCTCTGCTTTCTACTTTTTTACGATCAGTTTTGTATATTTTGCCATTTATTTCATTTAAATTTATGGGAATCCTATTTAACTCGACGCTCGTTTCTTTTTCATTTTCGATCACCTTAGAAATAACTGAACATTTCGGACTCATTTGATGAATTTTAAAACCTGAAGAAATTTTAAGTAAGCGATATACAGCTGCCGACAAAACCGACTAATTACTTCTATCTTCATGGAAATTAACCAGCTTAAAGTTTAACTTATCATTTAAACTAGAGATGAAATTTCCATTTAAAAAATTCGTATTAATTTTTTTCTTTTTTTATTTACAGATGTGTTCCTAAGTTTGTGAAGTAAGAGTAAGAGACGCGTCTCTTAGATGAGTAAGAAACGCATATATAGATACAATATTTATATAAAGAATTCTAATTTTCCTAATTTGTGTGTGGCAGCTTTGTTGCGTTGATAAAACTAATAATGGTGTAGGATGTCCTTAGAAGTATGTAGAGATTTTCAATTTCGATCTAACAAAATTTATTTAAATCAGACATTTCTTTAAATTTATCTAAAGTGACACTTTAAACCGTTCCTGGAGCAGGTTGCAGATTAACTGAGGCCACAGATTGAGCATGACCAGCCAATGGGGCAACATGTACAGCACCACGGGTCTTGGCAACGAAAGTACCACTATGAGCTGGAACTACAGCAGGAGCGGCAACAACATGTGGAGCGGCAACTACATGAGGGGCAGCAACTACAGCAGGAACGGGACCGGAGACCACTTGAACAGGTCCAGGGCCAGCAACAACATGATGTGGATGGGCAGCTACTGTAACGGCAGCATGGGGATGAGCTCCAAGTACTACTGTACCGGGTAGGGGTCCACCCACAACAACTGGTCCCCAGGGCAAAACTGAGGAGTTGGCACCCAAAGCCAAGGCAAGCAGGACTACGGCAATGACGAACTGGAAAACAAAACGGAAAACGATGATTAAATGATATTTATACATAACTAGCTTTGAAGGCAATATCTGGCATTGATTTTTTAAACTTTTTTGTTTTAATTTGAATTACTGATTTCAAATCCACCGATCATCATTTTTTAAAAAAAGCATAGTTTGTGTCCCGCTTTTTCGTATAGATTTGTATATTTGCCTCAATTCACGTTTTTTATGGCTGAATTTTGTTTTTAACACTTTTTTATATTAAAAAGTTTATAATTATTTCTTGGGAATATGATTTTTTGCTTTGTTAGAAGTCAGCGATTAATTTCAAAATAGTGACATTTAAACTCAATAGACGAGCTTTTTACTTTAAAAATATCCCTGAAGATGATTTCCGGAGGAAATCGAAATATTGGATGAATAAAAAAGGAAAAATTCAAAAATAAAAACATAGTTTTTTAATGACCTTAAGCCAAGCTATTAACCAAATAAGTAAATTTTTTGAAATCTTACAAGAACTTTCTACACATATTCAATGTAACACTATTTCTAATTTTTTTAATATATGTCCTTTCACATAAATTTATCCATAAAAAATCCTTTTATCCTTTTTTTAATTTCTCACTGAAGTGCTCACCTTCATGTTTGCTAGATTTTGTTCTATTGTTCTATGTAAAACGTTAGAAATAACTACTGACATCGCAGTGTAACACTAACCTTTTATAGCAAAACAATTTCTGTCCCAGCATATAAAAAAATTATCTTATATGTATCTTCACACTTTTTTTGTTCTATTTTCAATTATTGCAATTATCTAACTTTTACCCCTCGGACACTCCTTCACATAGATAACATGCCGGTAATGCATTTCATTATGTCCAGCATTTACTTAAATAAACCATTCCAGAATTTATTCTATTTAAACAACTTCAATGTCAACCTACACCAACCTCAATGACAACACCTGAGACATTTTTACATCATTACAAGCTGCAGTTTAATGATCAAACCAATTCGCACTTGTGAGCAAAGCCAGTCCACTCAAAGAAACAACATTTACATTTGCATATACGTTTATATTTTTAACTTGTAGCAAACATCCTTGTTAAGTACGAGTTAGACATAACATTGAAGTCCCGGTCAAATACCAACCTTAAAGAAAACTGCAATCTTTTCAAGTTAAACGACATTTTTCTACCTATTGTAGGGATTCTAGATACCAATACATATGAACCTATAGATTTTACGGTAATGATAGTAGTCTCAATAACACTTTTGTGTATTTTCTTTTTTACTTTTAGCCTAGTAACATATAAATAGACAACATTTAATTTTTGGTCAAATTCTGTCACACATTTCAAACTTCATTGAAATTTTATGTGCATAGCGTGTTTGGTACATCAAATACACGAAATCGGACGAAAAATATGTATAAGATCTATATCAAAATCTAAACCGATTTCAATATGATTTTACGAATTTGTTTCCAATTTTCATTGAAATTTGAAATATATAGCGTGTTTGGTGCATCAAATATACGAAATCGGACGAAAATATATGTGGAAACATAGAACAGTATTGGCTTGTTTGTTCGGGATACCGTAGTATATTGTTGTTACAAAATGGTCAGGCTTTATCCCTTTATTGTTGTTATACCCTCCACCATAGTATGGAGGGTATATTAAGTTTGTCATTCCGTTTGTAACACCTCGAAATATACATTTTAGACCACACAAAGTATATATATTCTAGATCAGTATACAATTCTATGTCGATTTATCAATGTCCGTCCGTCTGTGGAAATCACTCTAGCTTCCGAACGAAATGAAGTAGGTATATAAAATTTTACTCAAATGTGTACTATGTCTGCAGGACTTTTGGTATTTGAAAATGGGCCATATAGGTCCACGTCTTCGTATAGCCCCCATATAACGGTACCTCCCAATATGCGGTATTTTGATGATTCTAGCTACATTTTTTACCGGAATTGTTGTTGTTTGGTATTTGAAGTTCATAATAGATACTACAGTCGGTGACAGAAAATTGTCTGTGCAGGTCCACGTCTTCGCATAGCCCCATATAACGGTACCTCCCGATTATTTGATGATTTTAGCAACATTGTTACCGATTTTTTTTAAGTTTCGCATTTGAATATTTTTATGGCTTATGACAAATGTTACCTATGCAGGTCCACGTCATCGTATAGACCCTAATATAACAGCTACATTCGGCATTTTTAAGATTTTAAAAGAATTTTTAACGGATTTTATTGGTTTTGAGTATTACCAAATTTGTTCCAAATGGTGAAGGGTATTCAAAGTTCGACCCGGCCGAAATTAAAGCTTTTTTACTTGTTTACTTTTAGCCTAGTAACATATAAATAGACAACATATAATTTTGGGCCAAATTCTGCCACACATTCTAAACTTCACTGAAATTTGGTACATCAAATACACGAAACATGTGTATAGGTTCTATATCAAAATCTGAACCGATTTCAATATAATTTTACGAATTCCACATTTAATCGAAATTTGAGATATATATTGGTGCATCAAATATATAAAATCGACAGAAAATATGTATGTTTAGAGCTACATCCAAACCTCTCCCGATTTCAATATTGCCAAATTTACTTTTGTACCAAATTCCGTTATTCGTTTCGTATTTCATTGGCATCGGACGAACATATGCTGTTTGGTGCATCAGATATTTGAAATCGGCCGAAAAATATATATGAGAGCTATATCCAAATCTGAACCGATTTCAATATAATATGGCGAATTTATTTTTGTACCAAATTTCGTCGCTTATTCCGAATTTCATACATGTCGTAGTTGGTGCATCAAATATTTGAAATCAGCCGAAAATGCATATGGGAGCTTCATCTAAATTTGAACTGATTTGAATATAATTTGGTAAATATATTTTCTGATCAAATCCCGTCACTCATTCTAAGCTTCATTGGAATCGGACATATAAATCGTGTTTGGTGCATCAAATAAACCAAATCGGTCGAAAATAAAGATATGAGCTACATGCAAATCTGAACCGATTTCAATATAAATTGGGAAATCTATATTGTGATCAAATCCCGTCAATCATTCCAAATTTAATTGGAATAAAGCTTACATATCATGTTTGGTGCATCAAATAAACGAAATCGGTCGAAAATATATGTGGGAGCTATATCCAAATCTGAACCGATTTCAATATAATATTTCCATTTATTTCCATTACACAAATCTGCAGACTGTATCTATGACTGATCAAAAGATATGTGCATTCAAAAATTAATCTTCTGGAGGTATCCTATTCTGATGCCATATCTCCAGTTCCAATTGGAATTTTAAACATTAATATGGAATATGTTACTTTCAGACGATGCTGTAGTATATATGGAAATTTTCAGGAAAATCTGTTTAGCTTAAATTTCTGTTTAAATTACAAACAAACAATTAAACGTAAAAACATCTATTATAGATATAGTAGAACGAAGAAGAGTAATGTAATTGGCTGACTGACTCAACGATTCATCAACGCCCAGACGAAACGGCTGAAGCCAGAATGTTGAAATTATGAGTGAGAGTCACTCTTGGTCAGAAGGGGTCAGATATTGCTGGGTTTTTGGAAATTCGTACTAAAACGGTACGAAAAGTACTACATTTGGTACCATTTCGTATTATGCGAGTGGTTAGAGTTAAAAACCTGAAATGTGGAATTAGTAATAGAGTCGATGTAAGGAGGTAGTTTGGAAAAGTACTAAACGGTACTAAATTTAGTACAATTTGAATTTGGTGGGACGGATGGAGCTGTAATCCTGAAATTGCAATTAATATTAGTGGCGGAGTATATTATTGGAATATGGAATGTGATCCCCCATATAACGGTTCCTCAAGATATGCTGTATTTTGATGAATTTAGCCACATTTTTCCACGAATTTGTCTAAAAATGACAATTTTTGTTTGTAATGGGTTCCAGCTTTGGTTACAGAACATTGGTTATATAGGTGCAGGTTTTCGATTGCCCCCATAAAACGGTACCTTCGGATATTGGGTATTTTGATGATTTTAGCCACATTTTTCCACAGATTTGTCTAAAATTGATATTTGTAGTTCGTAATGAGTTCTAGCTCCGGTGGCAGAACATTGAATATACTATGGCGCACATATAACAGTACCTTCGGATATTACATATTTTGACGATTGAACCCCAATTTTCTAATAGATTTTTGTGAAATTGTGTATTTGTAGTTCAAACATTTGTCATATTGGTTAACGGAATTTTTTTCATTTACCCACGAAATTATGTCAAATTTGGTATATAAGACTCGCAATGGATTACTCACGTTTTGTTATGGCCCCATACAACGTTTCCAACCACTATATATATTTTTTTATACCCTGCACCATACATAGTAAGTTCGTCATTTGTAACTCCTCGAAATAATCATTTTAGACCCAACGATTTAGGCCAGTTTGTCTGTCTGTTGTAATCACGCTACAATCAAAACGAATTAAGATAGGAAGCTAAAATTTTGTACAGATCTGTCTTTTGTCTGCAAGCAGGTCAAGTTCGAAGATGGGCTATATCGGTCCACGACATCGTATAGCTCCCATATAACGGTACCCCCGATATTCGGTATTTTGATGATTTTAGCCACATTTTTCAATGGAATTTTCTGTAATTCCACACATGGAGTTCATTATGAGTAGTTTACTCCCTGAAAGAGATTTAACCATATAGGTCCACAATGTCGTATATCCCCCATATAACGGTACACCCCCACCCATACTATTCGGTATTTTGATTTTAGCCACACTTTCCAATGGAATTGTCTGTAATTCCACACATGTAGTTCATTGTGAGTACTATACCCCCTGAAAGAGAATTGTCTATATAGGTCAACAATATCGTGCATCCCCCATATAACGGCAACCCTCCCAAAAATTTAGATTTTGTATGCACATATTATTGATCGATTACAGATACTGTCTCCAAATTTGGAATGCAGAACGGAATTTAGAAAAAAAATAATTTTGACAAATTATATTGAAATCGGTTCAGATTTAGTTATAGCTCTCATATATATTTTCGACCGATTTCGTTCATTTGATGCCTCAAACACGATATGAATGTTTTTTTTTTTTTTTTGAAAACTCTTAATGCATTCTCCCACCGATCTGACTGGAGATTGGAGTTTAAAGTGAAACGTTTGAATCCAGATACTTTTGCATAAAAATATTTTCATAACAGTGTTGGCATGTTTTTTTTTTCAGGATACCGTAGTATTTTGTTGTTGCAAAATAGTTAAGCGTAATCACATTATTGTTGTTTTTATAAAAACAAGGTTTGTGTAATAGTGAAGAATGATGGTAATGTTTACCAGGGGGTAGGTAGGGAATACCTAGTTTTCGGAAAGAGCCACCAATCCTCATCAGTTCCCTTGTTTTTTTTTTTTTTGGTCTGGAATATTCTCCCCAGGAGTTATTTTAAAAATGACTACTACAACAAAAAGATTTTTTTACCCAAATGACGAGATGGTAAGCTCTATAAAAAAGAAAGAAATAAAGAATTAAATTAAACTAAACTTCTTCTGGAAAATCTTCTAAATCTTACTACCGCACTTATAAACATTTTCATCTCTCTCCACTTGTTTTGCTTTCGTTTTACATGAACGAAATAGCATAACCATATAAGTTGGTTTTGTCTGCAATAATATTTTGCAACAATAAAAATATATTCTTTACGTAAAGTTGGCTGAACTTAGCTTTTGCTTAAATTCGGACTTTTCCATTTACAAAAGATTAAATTTCCATTAAAAAGATTCATTTTATTTTTTCTTTTTTATTTACATTCTTCTTTCAAAGTTTCTGAAATATAATGAAAATAGAAAAGGAAAGGAAATTGTGACTTAGATACGATTAACAGACTGCAATGAAGGTGAAATAGCAGCTTAAAAGGTGATAGTAATGCATGTATAATTTAATTTAAATTTTTTTGTTTGTAGCTTTAATAAAACTATTTATCTGGAATTTCTTTAAATTTATCTAAAATGAGTCTTTAAACAGTTCCTGGAGCAGGTTGCAAGTTAACTGAGGCCACAGATTGGGCATGGCCAGCCAATGGGGCAACATGTACAGCACCACGGGTCTTGGCAACAAAAGTACCACTATGGGCTGGAACTACAGCAGGAGCGGCAACTACATGGGGTGCAGCAATTACAGCAGGAACGGGTCCGGAGACCACTTGAACAGGTCCAGGGCCAGCAACCACATGAGGTGGGTGAGCAGCTACTGTGACTGCAGCATGGGGATGAGCTCCAAGTACTACAGTACCAGGAAGAGGACCACCCACGACGACTGGTCCCCAGGGCAAAACTGAGGAGTTGGCACCCAAAGCCAAGGCAAGCAAGACTACGGCAATGACGAACTGGAAATATAACGGATAAATGATGTTAAATAATATTTGGATGTTAAATAAATAAATATTTTCAAGATATCTGTAATTTATTTCAATTTCGAAACAATAATTTTATATTTAAAATAAGATTAATTTACATCTTCTTTATGAAACACTGCCTCCTGGATCTTACGGTTTTTTTTTTTGCATAAACCATTACATATTTAGGGACGTATTCGTTTTTTAGATGTGTCCCAACAGATTTACACATTTTCCATAGTTTTCAATTCAATTTGTATTCATTCATATGATTTTTTTTTAAAGCGAACACAATTCTTAATTCCGTTTAAGGTCCTTTTCGTCTTTAACGTGACATAAATGTCACCTGGTAATAATTTATCATTGACATATTTCTATTCGTAAATCGATTTTCTTATTTTAATTTGAAAATATAATATTCACTGTTATTTGTTTTTTTTTTTTTTTTTTTTCACCAATATCCATAAAAAAATCTTTTATTGTTATTTCTTTAATCCTCACCTTCATGTTTGTTAAAATTTGTTCTATTGCTATTTGTTTGATGTTACAAATAACTCTACTGACATCTTAACGTCGAATCGACCTTTTATAGCAAAACCTTTCCATTCCCTGCATATGAAAAATATCGTAAATTTATCTATAAACCTCTGTTGTTGTATTATCTATACTTTTATTAATTATCTTACTTTTACCCCTCGACCACTCCTCCACATGGTTAACATGCTGCCAATGCATTTCATTATGTCCAGCATTTCTGTGAATAATAAATTCCAGAAATTATTTCAACAACTTCAATGTCAACCTGCACCAACCCCAGCAAACACCTGAGCTATTTTATAATTGTTGTCGATCAGATCAAATCATATGTAAATTTAAAGAGACAAAGTGTACATACATAAATAACTAGCAAATGTCCACCACTTCTTGAACAAAAAGTCCATATGAAAAGAATAGCGGATATTATTTGATTCTAAATTCAAATACTCTCAAACTACCAAATTTTGGACTCCACTTTCACCCATATTTCACTCATAATTTTAGCTCTTTTAGAACAGCAATATGCATGCGAAATTTCAAGATTGTACACTGAGAGAAAAATGCTTCATTGGATCAATGAAACATTTTCATAAGAATTTTTTCATTCATCCAATGAAAATTTTCATTAATAGAATGAAACTTCATAGATCCAATGCAAAAGTTGCATTGATCCAATGAAGGTGTTATGAAGGCTTCATAAAAAAAAATCATAAAAATAATTTCATTGGTTGAATGAAATATTTCATAGGTTAAATGAAATTGCTTCATAAAATTGCTTTCATTTTTATGAAACTTTAATGAAGGTTTTCATAACCCATTTTCATAAAAGCTGTTCATTGGTCGAATGAAAAGTTGCATACTTGTTTTGAAATAGCTTCATTAAATTGCATTATTTCTTATGAAACTGCATTGAAATTTTTCGTCCACAATGTTTATAGATAATGTTCATAGGCTGAATGAACCGTTTCACATTGTTAATGAGATGGCTTCATAAATAAATGGACATGCTGTGCTTTGCTTTTTACGGTTGGTCAAATCTCTCTAAACATTAGTTCTAGCTTTTTCCTTAATAATGTTCGTTAGAAGCCTAAATATACAAAAACACTCTTGTTACGAGAAACAAAATACACAAGACTGAACGTGACTGAAGCTGCACTAAGAAGAAAATACAGTTGAACCTCGATTATCTGAAATAGTTCCTGTTTGATTTATAATGAATAATGGAAAGCCTTTCATGGATGAAATTGTTCAATTTATAAAAATATATTTTATTTAATTTCTGAGTTACAAAATAATATTGGCGGGTATGTTTTATGTATTAGACAAACAAGCGACGTTTATATTTAATATAATTTTGTAAATATCGCATACTCGAGTGTCAACTGTAGTTTGGTTATTCAGTAAAGCGTGTGTGTGTGTATGGGAGCGTACCAACATAGAGTTTGATTCAGTGTTGATAACTTAGCCTTATTCTAACTATATTTCGCGTTTATTTAATTTAAGTAGACGAAAGATTTATACAATTATATTTATTGTTGCTCTGATATATTTTGTGTACACTTGAAAAAGAAAAAATATAATCGCAATAAAATCGAAAAGTGATCCGGAACTTGTGACAGCTACAGACGAAGTAATAAACATGTTTGCATCTTTAACCATTTTTTATGTTTTTTTAATATTTATGTATTGCTCTGTATTTATCAAACTTCTGAGACATTGATGTAAAGAATTTAAAGAAATTTTAAGAATTTTATATTGCGTTAAGGCTTTTTCACGGGAAACGATATATCGTTTATCGTATGTTTTATCGTTTTGAAGCCAAATCGTACAGGGTTTTCTCACCAAACAATTAATCTTTCAATTTTATGTCAAATAATTATCAATAAATTGAAATCATTTGACATTTTCCGTTTGAGCCGTTTGAGACTATATTTGTGGAATCGTACCTCGAAACTTTAATAATAACAAATGTCGTCTATATTTGTTTCGAAAAAGCGGATTAGTACTCGTTCTATATAAAAAAAGTTTATATTTTGACGCGTTTTTTATTCTGAAAAGTTTGCATCACATTTAATGTGTACTCATGAACTTGTTGGCAAACTATGGAAGCAACAACTACACACACACATATCTCTTTCGTCTGAACAACTCCACTAACAAAATAGAGTAACGATCAATTATAACGGTATATTTTGGTTTGTCACATATTTTTGGTTCAGCGAAGTGAAATAGAAAATTGCTTATTCATTTCATTGTGGTTTTCAATCGGAGAACATTTAAAAGTGAGTTTGTGAATTAAATAAAAATAAAAGAAATACATACTTCAAACAAAATAAAAAACAGTGGTAAATAACACAAAATAAAATGATTTGCTTTATGTGTAAAAAAAAGTTTTGTGACAAAAAACATTTCTTCAAACACCTTCGGGGTGATCATTTTCTGAAAACTACTGATTTATACAAGTGTTGTGGTCAAAATTATGAATATAGGTCTTTTCAAAGACATATAGCAAAACGGCATAACAGCAGTTTTTCTCCCCAAGAACAAAAAAATCAAATAAAAGAGACGCGGGTTTTAGCAAGTGTGAAACAAATTGAGGAAATAGAAGCAGACATTCCGGTTATTCTTGACAATCAATGCGAACAAAATATTGACGTTTCTCCAACTCCTTCAAACTATTTGCAGCCTGAATCGGAAGAAAAGAAATTTGAAAGGGTTAGCGAGAACGTTATTAAATTCCTAACAAGTATGCATTCAAACTATAATTTTTCAAGAAAAGATGTTACTTTTATTTATGGTAATGTCATTGATGCAGTCGTTAACCCGTTTTTGGAAGTAATAAATGCCTTTGCAAAAGACTTAGATAATAATTTGTCCACAAAATTATCAATATTACTATCAAAATATTCTGCAATTTTAGAAAAGCTTAAAACGGAGTATTTGCTTTCCGGAAAACTAAAAGAGATTAATCTTCTTCAAGATCTAAAAGAAACGGTGATTGATCAAAGAGAAACACTAGCTCATACTAAAGGTAAGTTGGTCCACTCAAATTTGACAACAAAAATTACAACAATGCCTATGGCATTTATGTTCAAAAAAATTCTAGAAAAAAATAAAAATTTTACCAAATGCGGTCGATTTGTCATGAACTTGAGAACTCCAATGAATTTCAAAATATTATTCAGGGACCACTGTGGCAAAAAAAGGTTAGCCGGTATCCCGGTAAACTATTAATTCCTTATAACTTTTACTCCGACGATATCGAGATTAATAACCCATTAGGTTCCCACGCCACTACCCATTCAATCTGCAATTTATACTTTTCTTTTCCTACACTGCCTAACGCCACAAAATTGAACAATATTTTTTTCCTAGGAAGCATTAAAAACAAAGACATACAAAAATTCGGGAATAAAAAGTGTCTTGCATCAGTAGTTGAACAAATGGCATTTTTAGAAACCGAAGGTTTGGATATAGAGATGTCAGACGGTGCTACATTTCATGTTTATTTTATACCTCTTTTAATTCTGGGCGACAATTTGGGTTTGAATAGTATTCTTGGGTTCATAAAAAATTTCAACGGAAAGTTTTGCCGTTTTTGTGAGATTGATTATCAATCTAGTCAGAAATCATGTTCGGCCAATCCGGAGCTCAGGCGGGACTACGGTAAATATAACAGCGCATTAGAAATTACTGATTCAAAGAAAACCGGAATCATTGAAAAATGTGAATTCAACAAAATTCCAAGCTTTCATGTAATTGACAATGTAAGCGTAGACGCAATGCATGATGTCTTGGAGGGCGTATGCCACTATGACATGACAAATGTCATATTGTATTTGGTTACAACCAAAAAATACTTTTCACTTGAAGAATTAAATAAACGTAAACGATGCTTTGAGTATGGAGAGCTTGAAATTGGTAATTTTTCACCAGATATTACTAAGCTACATTTGGAAAAAAAGCATTTAAAAATGTCTGCTCGTGAAATGCTAACTTTTGTTATATATTTTCCCATTATGGTAGGCGATTTCGTGCCACGTGACGATGAAGTTTGGCAGCTCGTACTAACATTAATTGAAATAGTAGATACTATATTGTCTTTTCGGGTGGACGCCTTCATGATAAATTCTTTGGAAAGTAATATAAAAAGGCATAATAAAATGTATCTCAAGCTATTTAATGATAAACTTAAACCTAAGTTTCATATACTGACGCATTATCCTGAAGTTATAAGGGCTTGCGGCCCAGTACGAAATTTTTGGTGTTTTCCGTATGAGGCAAAACATAGGAGCTTTAAATTGTATGCTCACGCAATCACGTCTAGAAAAAATATTTCTGTTTCCATGGCAAAAAAATATCAATTTGTGTTTGCAGATTTTTTGTTAGAAAAAACTGAGATTCCGGACATTATTTGCTCGAATATCAGCGAGTGTCAAGATTATTTGCTGGACGTTATAAGCCTCAAATTAAAAGTTGCAAAAAATACTATAAAGACTTTTGAAAAAGTTGTTTATAAAAATATCACATACAAAAGTTCGTATTTTGTAGCAACAAAAAAAGATGATGTATACAAAATTGTCAACATCGTTGTTTCACAACTCACAGTTTATTTGGTTTGTCAACAAGTTCTAAACAGTACGTATTTGAAACACTACACTGCATTTGAAATAATTCCAAATGATAAAGGAGAATATTCCGTTTTGAAGCTTGAGGAATTAATTGGACCACCGGCCACATTGATTAATACCGCTAAGGGAAAATTTATGCTTCGTTTCAAAGAAACAATTTAAAAATACCTTTTTCCATGCTAAACAATTTATTTTTAGTTTCAAAATGTCTGAAACAAACTCGGAGACTTTGAGCTGTGGGGAAGAAGATGCCTTGAAAAACTTACTTATATCATGGGGTATAGAAGACAAATTGGACATACTCATACGTAAGATTTAACTTATATGCTGAACCTATATAATTAGTTTTTTGTGCTATAATAACGTTAACTTCTTATAGGTGAACATATTTCTATTGATATTTTGAAAATACTAACTGAGGAACATGTTAAAGAGCTGACACAGAATTGGAGAATTGGAGACAAGGCCCAGTTCATTCACCATTTCACAAAGTGGAGACATGATATTAACCATCCATTTTGGGCAGAATGTTCAAGTCCTCTAGTTTTTCCCAAAAAAGCCGATTCGTGTAATTCATCTGATACGGAAGAAGTCGATAACGTCAATATGTTGGAGATATTGCAAAGTAATAAAATGGGGAACGTGTGCTTCAGTTTTACGAAAAAAACAAGTTTCTCACAGATGAATTAAGAGTTTTCATTATAAACATTGCTGCCCAGCATTTTGCAAGAAAAGACGCACCAATGACTCTTCAAGCAAGCTACAAACTCGAAACGCAAATATTGTCTCTATTTCCGACTGAAAAACTTGAATTCTATCGAACAGAACGTAGAGGAAAAATTTATGTAAAATCCCAAAATCTTAAAAAACAAAGCAAGCAGATTTTTATGCTGGAAAACGAATCACCTACGGCGTCAAAAAAGGCTAAAATTACTTTTGGTAGGAAATGTGGAATTTGTGGTTTAGTAATGGTTTTTAATTAATTTGTATTTTCAGTGCCTGAGGAGAATGGAGAGGATTTGGTGCAAGTTCTTAAATATGACAAGCTTTCAGCTGAAGAGTTTGAAACAAAGTGGATTTCTTGCGCCAACTATAGACTTAATCAAGTACTTAACGAATGCAGTAGCCTACGAGAGATTCTTAAAAAGTGGCCTGAATATAAATCACATTATAAGTTGGTGAGTATATATATCAAATAGTAAACATTTGATAATTTTAGCGTAATTCTACAAAAACTGTTTTAAATTCAGATTGATATTGACTTCTCAATAATGCATAAATCGCACAACAAAATGCTCAACTGGGACCAAAAAATCCTAAAGTTGTTTAACTTTTTGAAAAAATCTAAGCAACTTAAATGTCATGGTGAGTCAAAAATGTTAGAAACTCTCCAGGACGAAGATTTGGAAAACGGTAAGAGTCTTCAAGTCAAGCTCAACAAATCGATCAAACCTAATTTAACGTTATTATTTGCAGATCGAGGCACATTTGCAGTGAAAACCCTGTGGATTTTACATTATGTTCTTTTCCCGACTGGGCGGCAAGTTCGAAAAACAATTCTCGGAAAGAAAGAAATATCTCGCTATACAATAAAGGACTCCCAGAAGACGTTTTTGTTTTTGGGAAAGACTTTGCAAGAATTACACGACCATATTGATTTTTTGTTAAAGATGAAAGAACATATTCAGCCTTTTATATTGGGAATCGGAAGTCTGGACGATATACATGAAATTTTTGTTTATTTTGATGGTGACCTCATACGGTTTCCTAATTTTCTTCGCTCTTTGGATATTTGTTTTAAAATGTTCCATTTATTTAATTTACAATATCCCACAGCATCTGAAACATTTTGGATCTTTTTGGAAAACTACTTTTTTGAAATAAGTTCATGCTCAAAGAAAAAGTCAAAGGTAAGCATCCTCTTGGATGATTTAGAGAAACAATCTGAGTAATTGGTTTCAATTTAATAAGTTATAAATTCTCAGATATTTAAAACACTAAATTAAATAATAATTAAGCTATTTTTATATTGATATCTTCATATAAATTAAAAATAAGTTCGAAAATTAGATTTATGCAAATAACAAACGTTCCTAAATTCCGCAGATTAAAAACTGACTGTGTATTTGAATTACCTCAAGTAATTACAAATAAAGGCTTATAGACTATATAAGTAAAAAAAGTTATAGTATTTTATAAGAACTTGTATGCTAAAAATATATTAAATATATTACTGTTAAAAACAAATCAAAATGGACTGAAAAATGAATTATAACTAAGTAGAATTGTTTACAAAATATGATATGTAAGAAGAAACATGAACTTTTGTAACACTGATTAAATAATATTTAGAAAATTAATTTTTAAAAACCGCTTGCAAAACAAGTCACAATATGAATTTATTATTTTTGAGTTTAACATAGATATCTAAGACCTCTTTTGTTTGTAAATGAATTAACAAAGATACGTTTTTACAAAATAAAGAAAAATAAAAAAATAAGTATGTGAATATATTCTTGTCTAAATGGTAAAAAATGCCTGAACATATTCACACAACAAATGAAACCCGTTCATAAAAAATTAACAATTTCATAAAATCAAAGAAACCCTTTCATTATTTAAATGTACATCATTCATTTAGCATATGAAGGGGTTTCATTTGTTGTATTAATGTTTCATTTGTTGTATGAATATGTTTCATTTAATCTATGAACACATTTCATTGGATTTATGAAGACATTTTATTCTATTCATGAATAAATTTCATTATATCTATGAAGATGTTGCATTGAATTAACGATTATGTTTCATAGAATAAATGAAAGCTTCATTAAATCAATGAATTTATTTCATTACATCAATGAACATGTTTCATTGGGTTAATGACTTTGTCGTTAGTCCAATGAAACTTTTTCAATATATGTGTGAATATGATTCATTCGACGAATGCAACTATACATTAAATATATGAAGATATTTCATATATTCTATGAACTTGTTTCAATACATCTATGAATGGCTGTCATTAATCTAATGCAATATTTCATCCATCCAATGATGGAAACGTTTCATTAAATAAATGTTTTCGAATCATTCATCCAATGAAATGTTTCTTTGGTCTTTTTTTAATGAAACATTTCATTGGGCCAATGCAGAAATTCATTATATTGATGCAGAAATTTCTCTCAGTGTAGATAGGAAAATTCTCACGCTTTAACAAAACAATATTAAGTGCCGTTTATTACGAAGTTGTAAAAATTCCTCCACATCTCATATTTTCTACAAACAGTCTTAAATGTCAATACTTCAACTCTAAAATAACAGAGTTTTGGATACGAAACTAAATTTGTTGATATTGATTGATTTTCGGTATAGCCCAGTTATGTGGCGACTATGCCAAAATATATACCCAGGTTGAAATTTTTCTATAAAATGGTTCTCTACCCCTAAAATAATATAAGTACAATTTTTTAGCCAAATCGATTCATTTTTGTCAAGACCCTCGAAATAGTACAATCAGACAGAAAGTTTATATGGACCCTACTCCGAAACATAGGCATACATTAAACATTATCTGCAAATGGACCAAATCAATTAAAAAATGTTGCCAAGGACGCAAAGTTGGGGCTATATAAATATTTATACCCTACACCACAAGGTGGTCAGGGTATTATGTCTTTGTGCGTTTGTTTGTAACAGGCAGAAGGAAACGAGATAGACCCATAGTTACTTTTGATGATCTGCATAGAATCACATTCTGAGTCGATTTATGCATGTCCGTCCGTCCGTCTGTCCATGTATTTTTGTAAACAAAGTACAGGTCGCATTTATTGCCCGATCCAGATGAAATTTTGCAAAGATCTTTTGTTTGGCCCAAGGACGAACCATATTGAAATTGGAGATAATCGGTCAAAATTTAGATATAGCTCCCATATATATCTTCGTCCGATTCGCCTTTTATTGTGCACTAAACTTGTAATATCAGCCCGAATTGTATGGAATTTTGCATATACACCCAAATTAGGCTTGAAAATATGTGTGACAAATTTGATCGAAATCGGTTCAGATATAGCTATAGCTCCCATATATATTTTTCATCCGATTTGTTATTTTTGTCCACCGCCGCCGTAATATGCACTCTGTAAGAACAATATTTGGGGAAATATATCAAATACAGCTCAGAAATTTCTTTGCCAAATTTTATCGAGATCGGTTCCGATTTGGATATAGCTCCCATATATATCTTTATCCGATTTCAAATTAATTGTGCACCAAATGTGCAATACAATTCCGAATTTAAAAGATACAAATGCTTCGCCATATTAAGTCCTTTAAACTTTAAATTATAATTATAATCATAGCGTGTATGATTGAATTCTCCCATAAAAACTTTTAATTCTTATGTGAAGCTCTACTTAATTAGCAAAGTGGTGTAGGGTATCATAAAGTCGGCCCCGTCCGACTTGAAGACTTTCTTTACTTACTCTTATACAACCTAATCTGGTTGTATGTGCAAAATTCCATACTATTCGGACTGTTATTACACGTTTGGTGCACAATAAAAAGCAAATCAGGCGAAGATATATATGGGAGCTATATCTAAATTTTGACAGATCATGTCCAATTTCAATAGGGTTCGTCCTTGGGCTAAACAAATGATTTGTGCAACATTTCATTTGGATAGGGCAATAACTGCGAACTTGTTTACAAAAATACATGGACAGACGGACGGACGGACATGCATAAATCGACTCAGAATGTGATTCTATGCAGATCATCAAAAGGAACTATGGGTCTTTCTCGTTTTCTTCTCCATGTTACAAACAAATGCACAAAGACATAATACCCTGACCACCTTGTGGTGTAGGGTATAACAAATACGAAGTCCTGCAATTTTCTGTCATTGAAATACGTTGAAAAATATTGTAAAAATACCGAATACAAGAAGTTTCCGTAATATTAAGGTCTATACGAAGACCTGGACGTATATGGACAATATTCTGTCACAGGCTGTAGTATCCATTATGAACTTCAAATGCGAAATATTGAACAATTCTGGTGAATAATATGGCTAAAATTATCAAAATACCGAATATAGGGAGGTACCGTTATATGGGGGATATACGAAGACCAGGACCTGCATAGAAAATTTTTTGTCACAGGTTATAGCACCTATTGCCAAGTGCAAATACGAAATATGGAGGTACTGTTATATGGGCAGCTATGCAATAACGTAGATCTATATAGCTCATTTTCAATACCAAAAGTCTTGCAGACCAAACACACATCCAAATAACATAAACCTACTTCAATTCGTTCGGAAGCTAGAGTGATTTCCACGGACAGACATATGGACGGACATCGTTAAATGGACATAGCATTTTATGCTGATCAAGAATAAACAGGGTGAGATAAAAAAACTGCTACCAACTTCAGACTGCTGTCATTTCTAAGCCACTCGTCCGACATCTGTTAAAATTATTCCAGTGACAGCTCATCATATTTATTACAAGCGTACAAAAGCAGTTTGGTGAAAATTTTCCAGAAAAGAAGTTATTCGTGATGGAATTCAAGTGTGATGGCGTGATTCCTATATATTTGGCTGGAAAACCACAAGTGGCTATCGTTAGAGCACTCCAGCATTTAAATGTGAATAAATATTTTGTGTATCGTACCATCGCTCGTTACCGTGATACTGGTAACGTCAATGGAGGAAAAGTGGAGGGAAGAAAACAGCAACATCAGCAGAAATAGTTCGAAAAGTAAAGAAGCGACATGGCCGAAACCCGCGTCGCAGTGGCCGACAAATTGCTCGTGAGCTGAACATACCACAATATTCCATTCGGCAAATATTGAAAAATGAGCTCGGGGTAAAGCCATTGAAATTCCAAACAGTGCAAGAACTTACACCGCAAGAGAAAGAAAATAGACTCAAAAGAGGTAAAGAGTTGCTTCGCTTGGCCGAAAGTTGTGAACTGCCGAAGTTGGTTTTCTCAAACAAAATGATTGTGTTTATTTGCCAAAGATGTCAGCTGCGCTTTCGGTTGGCTACCAGACCTCAAGCGCCGGCCATGGTGATGGTATGGGCCGCCATAACAGCCGATGTTCGCTCTCCGCTCGTATTCATCGACCGTGGCATCAGAATAAATGCCGAATATTATCGCAAAAATATTCTGGAGGGTGTATTAAAGCCTTGGGCACGCAAACATTTTGGCCGCAGAACTTGGACATTCCAACAGGACTCAGCACCATCGCACTCAGCACGCGTCACCCAAGAATGGTTTCAAAATGAGGTTCCTCACTTCATTTCGAGCGCGCAATGGCCACCAAAACCTCCGGATACCAATCTGGAGTATTTTGGAAAGCAAGGTTGGCACTAAAAAATACCAAAGTGTCGATCACCTCAAGGAAGCGCTTCGCCGGGAATGGGCCAAAACACCGCAGAGAAACATTCGGGCAACGTATGGCGGTTTTATTGGCCATTTGAAGTCCATAATTCGTGCCAAAGCTGACCAATTCGAACAAATCTAAACTTATTCTAAAATTTGACGCTATTTCCGACATTTTTTGCTTTCATTCAATAAAATTTAAAAGAAAAATTTAAATATTCTGGCGTTTGACTTTGTTGCGCCCTTTATCTCACCCTGCATATGCTAAAACTAATATAATTTGGGTATATATTAGGGATTTGGTGCATAATAGGCGTGAAATCGAGCTATATCCAAATATGGTTCGATTACCACTACTTTCAATAGGGTTCGTCCTTGGGCCAAACAAAATAACGATGCAGAATGTCAAATACTTCCCGTTTTTTGAACAGGTGTGTTTGACATATGGTAAGCTCGCTAAGGCTGCATGGAATTGTCTGGTACTCGGTATGTGGATTTAGTAACAGATACCAATTTATCTGGCAGAAAATTGACCGCATATGACCACGTTTTCGTATATAAATATTCGTTATTTGACGTTTCTAATCACTGTTATCAAATTATCCGAACTTTTTTTTTTTTGAAGTATGTTACGGAAACCAATGCCTCCGGTAGAAAATTTTAGGCATGTGTTTGGTTCTAATTACTTCTTATGAGACCAAAAACGATACTAAATCCATTGTGTGTGTGCGTGAAAGATTAAGATGATATAATGTCCGTATTCAGAATCCCGGCAGAGAGGATATCAAAAGTGATTGCTTTCTCAGTTGTTATTATATTTTAATTGTTGTACTTATTACTCTAAGTTAAGCTTAAATATTGGCTTCCAGCTATTTTCATGTCATGGGGTCTTACGAAAGTAAAATTCAATAATCCTAATTTTACACCCTTCTAAAGACTCCGCATTGTAATGTACTTAAATTATCATCTAAAATAACATATCTGTGGCATTCTTTTATACCATACATAGTATGGAGGGTATATTAAGTTCGTCATTCGGTTTGTAACTCATCGAAATAATCATTTTAGACCCAACAAAGTATATATATTCTTGATCAGTATAAAATTCTATGTCGATTTATCAATGTCCGTCCGTCTGTCCGTCTGTTGTAATCACGCTACAGTCCAAACGAATTAAGATAGGAAGCTAAAAGTTTGCACAGATCTCTCTTTTGTCTGCAGGCAGGACAAGTTGGAAGATGGGCTATATCGGTTCACGATATCGTATATCGCCCATATAACGGTATCTCCTGATATTCGGAATTTTGACGATAGTAGCCAGATTTTTCAATGGAAGTGTCTGAAATTCCACAAAAGGAGTCCCTTGTGAGTATTTTACCCTCTGAAATAGAATTGTCTATATAGGTCCACGATATCGTATATCCCCCATATAACGGTACCCCCAATATTCGGTATTTTGATAACTTTACCCACATTTTTCAACGGAATTGTCAGAAAATCTACACAAGGAGTTCCAGTACCCTCGATATTCGGTATTTTGATGATTTTAGCCACATTTTCCAACGGAAATTGTACACAAGGGGTTTTTTGTGAGCACTTTACCCCCGGACAGAGAATTCTTTACATAGGCTAATGATATCGTATTGCATCCATATAACGGTACCCCCGATATTCGGTATTTTGATGATTTTGGCCACATTTTCAAATCGTATTGTCTGAAAATCCACACAAGGAGTTCTTTGTGAGCACTTTACCCTCTGAATGGAATTTTCTATATAGTTCCGTAATATCGTATATCCCCCATATAACGAAAACCCCCGATATTCAGTAGTTTGATGATTTTAGCCACTTTTTCCAATGGAATTATCTGAAAATCCACACAAGGAGTTCCTTGTGAATACTTAACACCCAGACATAGATTTGTCTTAAAGGTCCACAATATCATATTGTAAAGATTTAAAATAAAATTTAATGGATTTTATTTTTTTAAAAATTTTCTAATTCGTTGCAAATGGCGGAGGGTATTCAAAGTTCGGCCCGGCCGAACTTACTGCTTTTTTACTTGTTAGACCTAACAACGTGTATATATTCTTGATCAAATTATACAAATTATAATAGGAAGCTAAAATCTGGCATAGATCAGTCTTTTGTCTGCAGGCAAGTCAAACTCGAAGATGGGCTACATCGGTCCACGATATCGTATATCGCCCATATAACGGTACCTCCTGATATTCGGAATTTTGACGATAGTAGCCAGATTTTTTAATGGAAATGTCCGAAAATCCAAACAGGGAGTTCCTTCTGAGTACCTTACCCTTTGGAAGAGAATTATCTATACAGATCCACGTCTTCATTTAGCCTCCATACAACGGTACCCCAGATATTCGGTATTTTGACGATTTAAACGACATTTCACCGGAATTGTTTCAAATTTTGCATTGAAAGTTCATAACGGGTACTACAGCATATGACAAAAAATTGCGTAGGCAGGTCCACGTCTTCATATTTCCCTCGTATAACGATACCTAATTATATTCGGTATTTTTTTTATTTTAGGCACATTATTCTCTTTGTTTCAAATTTCGTATTTGAAGTTCGCAATCGTTGGGAAATTTGTCAAGTTCCTTCAAAATGGTACATTTTACACCCCACAAAGTATACATATTCGTGATCAGTAAAATTTTTATGCCGATTTAGCGATATCGGTCCGTCTGTGAAAATCATTCTAGCTTTCGAACGAAATGAAGTAGGTTGATAAAAATTTTACTCAAATGAACATTATGTCTGCAGGACTTTTGGTATTGAAAATGGGTCATGTAGGTCCACGTTTTGGTATAGTATCAAATTTGGTATTTGAAGTTCGTAGTTGATATTACAGCCTACCAGGGAAATGGTATGTGCACGTCCATGTCTTCGTATAGTCCCCATATAATAGTACCTCCTGATATTCGGTATTTTGATGATTTAGACGACATTTTACCGAAATTGTTTCAAATTTGGTTTTTGAAATTCGTAATGGTTATCACAGCCTAAAACAGAAAAGTACAGCCTATGGCAGGACATTGTCTGTGCTGGTCCACGTCTTCGTTTAGCCCCCGTATAATGGTACCTACCTATATTCGGTATTTGTATGATTTTAGCTACATTATTTATCGATTTTTTTTATTTTTCAAGTTTTGCATTTAAATTTTGTAATGGCTTATGACAAAAGTTCCCCATGCAGGTCCATGTCGTCCTATAGACCCTAATATAACGGCTACCTCCGGCATTTTATGATTTTAAGAGAATCTTTAAGGGATTTTATTTCTTTTATTATTTTTACTTATTTTTTTGAAGATTGCCCAATTCGTTCCAAATGGTGGAGGGTATTCAAAGTTCAGCCCGGCCGAACTTTTAGCTTTTTTAGTTGTTCAATTTAAATTCCCATGTAATTTTTGTGTTATAACCTACCGAAAAGAATATTTTCATTGAAAATACACATTTCTGTTTTTTTTTTATATTTATTTACAGACATATTTCTAAGATCCTGAATAGCGCATCAATGTGTAATATAGAAAAGTGAGTAGTGACTTAGAAAGAATTAGCAGACTGTATTCAGGGAACATGTTCAAATGATATATATTATTGGAAATACGTAAGGAAGGTGAAATGGAAGAGTAATGGAGTAGTAATACAAAGAATTTTGTCGTAACTTCGTTGCTTTAATAAAACTAATAATGGTGTACGATGTCCTTGGTGGTATGTATAGATTTCCAAACTTCGCTGTAACAACATTAATCTAAATCAGCTATTTCTTATAATTTATCTAAAGTGGAAGTTTAAACTGTTCCTGGGGCAGGTTGCAGATTAACTGAGGCCACCGATTGGGCATGACCAGCCAATGGGGCAACATGTACAGCACCACGAGTCTTGGCAACGAAAGTGCCACTATGAGCTGGAACTACAGCAGGAGCGGCAACAACATGTGGAGCGGCAACTACATGAGGGGCAGCAACTACAGCGGGGACGGGACCGGACACCACTTGAACAGGTCCAGGACCAGCAACAACATGAGGAGGGTGGGCAGCTACTGTAACAGCGGCGGGGGGATGAGCTCCAAGTACCACAGTACCAGGAAGAGGACCACCCACAACAACTGGTCCCCAGGGCAAAACTGAGGAGTTAGCACCCAAAGCCAAAGCAAGCAGGACTACGACAATAACGAACTGGAAAACAAAACGGAAATCGATAGTTAAATGTTATTTGCAAGTTAAGTACATAAGTATTTGCAGATGCCAGTAATTTATTTCGAAACAGAATTTTCATTTCAAACTCGATGAATGAATATACAGCTTATTTATGAAACAATCTTCCTATGATATAAAGGTTTTTGTGTTTAAAAAACTATTATACATTTAGGGACTCATTCGTGTTTTTAATTTATTTTCAAATGTTCTAACAAATTTTGTTTTAATTTGGGAAATTTGTATCAATCAATATTTGAAATTTTTCACATTTTAGTCTTAGATTTTAAATCAGTTTGTATTCATTGATATGATTTGTTTCTTAAGGCGGACACATTTCTCTATTCCGTTTTAAGTTCTTTTCATCGTAAAAGTGTCATGATTGTCACTTGGTAATTTCATTATGAAACTTAATATCCTTGACATATTTCCATTCGAAAATCTATTTTATTTTTTTTTAATTTGACATTTTCACAAATATTAATAAAAAAATCTGTTTTTGTTATTTCTCCAATCCTCACCTTCATGATTGCTACGTTTTGTTGTATTGTTATTGGTTTAATGCTAGAAATAACTCTACTGACATCTCAACATGGAACTGACCTTTTATAGCAAAACCATACCGTGTCCAGCATATATGTATTTTTATCTATCTATAAACGTCTTTTGTTCTATTTTCAATTATCTAACTTTTACCTCCCTCACACTCCCCACACATATATAGAATACCGGCAATGCATTTCATTATGTCCAGCATTCATTTAAATAAACAATTCCAGAATTTATTTCAACAATTTCAATGTCAACCTACACTAATCTCCATTAACACCTGAGCTATTTTTACATGGTTACAAGTTAATGGCTATTAAACAAAACCAACGGTCTCAAAGGAAAAGCCAACAATCTCTAAGAAAAAGAATTAACACATTTATACAAGTGAATGTAGAGCAAATTGCTAGCCATGTCTACCCCGCCAAAAATCGTGGATACGGAATGTTACAAAAAGTCATTAATGAGGACGTCCATTTCGCCCCTTATGTGATGTTAGGGAGTTCAATTCATTTGTCATATATCTTTACTTATAAGGAAACGAAATAGATTTTCTATTTTCTTTTTTTTATGATGATCACAATAAAATATGACTCTGTTTTGAAAATCCCTTATTTTAAACCAGTATGAAAGGTCAAAAGTCGGGCGGCGCCAACTATATAATACCCCACACCACTATGTGTATTTGGTAGAGCTCCCGTAACAAAAATAGTTTGTACTGGGAATTTATCTGAAGTAGTGCATGTTTATATTAAAAACCAGTAAAGAAAGTCTTAAAGTCGGGTGGGACCGACTTTATGATACCCTACAACACTACAATATGTTGGAAACCCCTCTTATGTCTAAATTCATTTATATTGAACTAATGTCATAGAGGCCTGCCCAGATGTTACCCTTATTTACGCATTCCGCCGTGTTGTTATGTATTCGAAAAAAATTAACAAAAGCCATGGTCCATTTTACAGCTAAGTATAATCCAATGGTCATCCAATATGCTCGACTTCTTTCCTTTTTTTTGGTCCATTTTGACGTCTGTATTTAAATCTCCATAACAGTAGGCTTTAATTCTCACCCTAACGCTACCCCATGGAAAATTTCGTGAGGAACGGACGATAATTGCGACCTGTATATAATACTTTCAACACATAGTGCTGGGGGTGTAGAAATAATTATATAATAAATAATAATTTACAATTCAAAATTGTAAGTCAAATTGAAAAAAATCGCATGCGATAAAAAATATGACAAAAATTTAAAAGAATTTAACAAAAAATATTCACTTTTTTATTGGCATATTTTTACGCGATTTTCCTTCATGTTATCCTTTTCTGGCAAGAGACCACTCCGAATTGACGAGAATTGTGAAAATCAGTCCAGCGGTTCTAGACTTATCAGCGATCTAACTAACATTCCCTTCTTTGATATATGAGATTATATATATTTTGCTATAGAGAGATTTTGGATATGAGCATCAATGTAACGGTCAGAAATGACATTTTCGTGTATTTGTGATTTCGCCGGGATTAAAAATATTAGCGGTTTAGTGGAAAGTTTCGTATTTTTACAAAACAAGTAAAAAAACATTAAGTTCGGCCGGGCCAAACTTTTAATACCCTCCACCTTAGGGTAAAGGAAACATTAGAAGAAATGTGGCAAAAACCATTAAAATGCCGAATATCGGGAGGTACCGTTATATGGGGACTATGCCAGAACGTGGACCGATATATCTCATTTTCAATACCAACCATCCTAGACACAATACCAATTGCTCTGCTAAATTTTGGCGCTCTACGTCAAATAATGTGGGCTGTATCGTGATTTCAACAGACAGACAGACAGACAGACAGACAGACGGACAGACAGACAGACGGACATCGTTAAATCGACTTAGAATTTTATGCTGATTATGAATATATATACTTTATGGGGTCTACGACGAATATTTAAGGATGTTACAAACGGAATGACAAAGTTAATATACCCTCCTTTCCACGGTGGAGGGTATAAAAAAGTTATGGTCAAGTATTTTTTTTTTTCTTTTTTTTGGTTCCATTTCATTATTTTGCGATCATAACCAAAAACAATAGGGTTCTATTCTGACACTAACCCCACCTCCATTTTCAATTTTGTGGGAATCGGGCCAAAATTGCGACCGGTAGGTTGATTACAAATTAACATGGACAGACGGACGGACGGACATACATAGATAGATCGACTCAGCTCGGCGAGCTAGGAAGATCCATATATACATTCCTATGTGGGAAACCAATATTTCGAGGTGTTACATAATTTTTGGCCCAATCAAACTTATAATATCCCAACACATAGTGTTATAGGGTATAATCAGTAAAGAAAGTCTTAAAGTCGGGCGGGGCCGACTTTATGATACCCTACACCACTTTGCACATTTAGTGTAGCTTCACATAACAAATAAAAAAAATTATGGGGAATTTGTGAGAATTAAATCATACCAATTACGATTATAAATATAATTCAAAGTCCAAAGGAACAAATGTATATATATATATACTTCTCAAAATGAAGTAGTAAAATTTTACTCAAATGTTATGGCTGCAGGTCCTTTGGTATTGAAAATGGCCAAGTAGTTCCATGTTTTGGTATAGCCCCATATAACGGTACCTCCCGATATTCGGTATTTTGATAATTTTAGCGATATTATTCACCGGAATTGTTTCAAATTTCGTATTTGAAGTTCGTAATTAATACTACAGTCTTAGACACAAAATTGTCAGTACAGGTCTACGTCTTCGTATAGCCCCCATATTACGGTACCTCCTGATATTCGGTATTTTGATGATTTTAGCATCGGAAATGTTTCAAATTTAGTATTTGAAGTTCTTAATGGATATGGCAGCCTAAGGCAGAAATTTGTCTGTGCATCTCCACATTTTGGTATACCCCCCATATAATAGTACCTCCCTATATTGATGATTTTAGCTACATCATTCACCGATTTTTTTTTTTTTTAATTTCCCATTTGAATATTGTAATGACTTATGACAGAAGTTGCTTCTGCAGGTCCATGTCGTCGTTTATACCATAATATGAGGGCTACATTTGATATTTTTAAGATTTTAAAAGAATTTTTAACGGATTTTATTTTATTTATTTATTTATTTATTTATTTATTTTTTTAAATTGCCAAATTCGTTCCAAATGGTGGAGGGTATTCAAACGTTTTTAATTGTTTTTAAACTAGCATAAATTAAGAGGCTCTGAAAATATCGGTCTGACAGACCGGGTGGTGATTATACGTGTTACATTTTTTTAAGGCCGTATATGCAGGATAACGATGTCCGTCCGTCTGTCGGTCTGTAGAAATCACTCTATCTTCCCAGCAAATTGAACTGGGTTGATAAAATTTAACTAATATGAGTGTTTGTTCTGCAGGACACGTTTGGGTATAGCCCCCATATAATAGTACCTCCCGATATTCGGTATTTTGATGATTTAAGCGGCATTATTCACCAACATTTTTTCAAATTTTGTATTTGCAGTTCATGACGGACACTACAGCTCGTGACGGAAAATTGCCTATGAAGATCCAGGTGTTAGTATAGCCCTCATATAGCTGTACCTACCTAAATTCGGTATTTCTATGATTTTAGCGGTATTATTCATCGGAATTGTTTCAAAATTTCGTATTTGAAGTTGGTAATGGGTACTACTGCCTATTTTCCCTTATCATCTTTAAAAATGTTATCCAGTTTTCGCGTAACTTCTAAAAAATAACACGTTAACAGATTAGTTTTTGTATGACTTCATTTACAAAAAATACAAGACGACACTGCTCACGTAAGTATGGCTGTTCAAATTGTTGATTTGTGTGGAGTTGCGTTTGACTATAATGTATATATAATGTACTATGTCAAAAAAGAAATCTAGAACGATTACTTTACACAAACATATATAATGGCAAATAATGCACGTCCGTCTTTCGTCGTGTCCTAACTAATTATGAATAAAGTTATGTTTTTCAAAATCAGATATGGTATAAACTAACTCGAGGCTTTTGATTCGAGCTTTTCCTAAACATGATGTGTTTAAATTCGAAAAAACACTTCTGCTTACAATTTTACCCCCTTCAAAAAGCAAATAACAAAATTACAAAAATTCACATAATTCTTAATTTATTTACACAATAACAAACTGTTTCACTTAATATGATATTTTAGAACAGAAAAAATACGACAGTGTTTTCGTAAGAAAGTGGTATTGAAGAATGATAGATAGGGAAGTGGTAAAAGACTAAAATGTTGATAGAAATAAGTAGCAGAATGAAAGGCGAACGAATGATAAGCAAAAAATAAGATAAGAAATAATGTGATGAGATAAAAAGTACATATTTTGATACAACGGTTTAACATTATACAAGTAATATGGCAAAGGATGTCCTGATGAATGAGTGATCGCGAAGATATCTAAAATACTTCAATGCTCAATTGAGCCAGTTTCAGTTGAGAAAATTCTTCTCGGATGGAATTTAAACAGTTCCTGGAGCGGGTTGCAGATTAACTGAGGCAACTGATTGGGCGTGGCCAGCCAAGGGAGCAACATGTACAGCACCGCGAGTCTTGGCAACAAGAGTGCCGCTATGAGCTGGAACTACAGAAGGAACGACAACGACATGTGGGGCAGCAACAACAGCAGGAACGGGACCAGAGACCACTTGAACTGGTCCAGGTCCAGGAACCACATGGGGAGGATGGGCCGCAACTGTAACAGCAGCATGGGGATGAGCACCAAGTACTACTGTGCAGGGTAGGGGTCCACCCACAACAACTGGTCCCCAGGGCAAAACTGAGGAGTTGGCACCCAAAGCTAAAGCGAACAGGACTACGGCAATGACGAACTGGAAGATAATAGATAATGTAGTTGCAATTTGAATAGTCTTTTGTTTGATTTATGAAAATATACCGTTGCAGTGGATTATGTTCACCTCCCCTTCCCTCCAATCAGGAGCTCATTTTAATCTGCCAGATCTATACAATATGCCCACAAGTAGTGTATCTATATATCTATAAAAG